GGGGGGGGGCTACCTAAACTCTTCATGTTCTTGGGCGCCTTGGTATACGCATACTCGTAGCCCGTGATGGAGGCGAAAATCTCCGAAAAGGCAATCAGCACGTAGGGGATCGTTTGCACCCAGACGTTGATCGGCGTCGCCTGGTCGCAGGTGCTGGGGTGGTTGCCGCAGGGGCTCATCTTGTAGATGTAGTATTGAGTCACGGCGGCCGCGACCATCGAGGCCGAGGCGAGCATGTATCCCGCGTAGATACGCTTGATCGGGGTGAAGTGGAAGCCCATCTTGCGGAGGCCCGGGTAGATGAACTGATCCATGATCGGAATGAAGATGATGAGGGCGAGGGGGTCCAGGTTGTTGATGATGTCGTTGGGGACGCCGTGCAGTTCCATCGTCGCCGCCTGGGAGGTCAGGTTGTTGGTCATTTGACCGTACGCCAGCCCTATCGATGGTTAGTAGGGCCAAAAGGAGATGGGTGGAGACTCACAGTAAAGAGGGTACCAGGCAAACACGGCACAGGCCTTGACGGCACGACGCACTTCGTCCACCCACTGGTCGTCAAAGGTCATCCAGGCCGGCCGGCTGGCGATACGGCTGGGCTTGACACTGTCCCAGAATTCGGTGGATTGGCAGCGGTGGTAACTAAGCGGTTAGTAGATATCTATCGATGTGAGGTATAAACTTACAAGGTGACTGGGTTCCAGGACCATTGCCCCTTGATGGCCAGGCTCCACAGTTGGAAGGCTTTGGTGGCCACCGATCCGGTCGGGGGCGTCACGACGTATCTCTTGCGGCAGAAGAACAGCACAATCGGACAGAAACTGAACATGATGGTCGGCAGCAAAAAGGCGAGCCAGTATCCCACGTACTTTTCCGCGTAGACCATGGCCACGGATCCAATGAGGGCCCCGACGTTGATCATAAAGTAGAAGTAGAGGAAGATACGGGTGATGGTCTGTGCGGGATCAACAATGACGCGCTCCCCGGTCTTGGGGATCGTCTTGATGAAAAGCTTGGTTTCCCTGTATTGTTCGGCGATCAGAGGCGAGATATTGGACCTGGTAGGTTAGCGTCATTCTCCCGTAAGGCTTGGATACATACTTGAAACCGCCCACGCCGATACCGAAGATGATTAAACCGATACAGAAGCAAGCCAGGGCACCGTTGGCGTGCACGATGACCGGAGGGATAGAGGCGATGATGATGATTATGTGACCCAGCATAGCAAAAGCAATGGAGACCTGGATGGTGCGCATGCGACCCCAGTACTCATCGGCAATCCAAGCACCGAGGATGGGCATGACATAGCACCAGAACGTGTTGACTAAGTGGTCAGCCATGTCTAACTAACAGCAGGACAGACTCTACTTACAAGTGGTCAGCGCAGTGGATGTCCGTTCGCCTTGGCCTAGAGCACCCGACTGTCCACTGAAGCCCGCACCGGTGGTGGAGCCGGCCGGCAGAGGCTGTTGGATAAAGTTGACATCTATGAGGTGATTAGACAAGACCTCAAGAATGGGTAGGATACATACAAACAGCGGTAGTTCCGTAGTACGAGAAACGCTCACACAGTTCGACAAACGCGACCGTGTAAGTAGTCCAGCTGACCTTGTCAGAGACACGACGCAGGGTGCGCTCCTCCTCCTCGGTGGGATACTCGCGCCCATCATGGACCGAGGGCACGGCCGACACGACGGTCGTCTCCTTCTCGTTGATTGGAGCGTGGAGCTCCTTTTCATCCAGAGGAGTCTGGATCTCCTTCTGGGGCACGTGGGCCTGTGCGACGTAGACGAGATCGTCTGCACCAACGGGGTCACTCATGATGCAGCAGCCCTGACCGGATGTAGAGAACACAAACGTGGATGGAAGAGACGATCGCCCAAGAAGGGATCAACCTGGGGGGAGGGGACTAATAAAGGCATGGAGGCGAGTGCACCCACCAGGTGAGCATAGGCTCGCTTCGGAGGAACCCGACTATCAGCGGGCGGGAACTAGTAAACGACCATGGGTAGCATCCACCGGTGTAGCGTCGGAGATGCGTCTGGCCTGGTTGGCAGCTATCACAGATCGGGGCGGTTCAGTTTTGCCTCTGCTGGTCCCGGTGGTTCTAGCGCCCCTCTGGAACACAGGTCGCGTGGCATGTGCCTCTGCTCCGTATCTGGTGGCAAACCTGCTGCGCGGGTGGCCACGGAGGACAGATCCTGGACGAGAAAGTCCCATGGCAAATGAGGTGCCGGTCATATCAGCGCGATGTCTCGGGGGCACGGTCATTTGTGGAAGTCCCTGCAGGTGGCGGAGAGTCTGTTGCACTAGCACCGTGATCCAATCTACTCTTTGCCAGCGGTTGAAACCGTCGACACTATCGGACCACGGGCCAACGACTACGACTAGTACTGTGTTAGCTCTGGTGGACTAGGCTGCCGGATGGAGTGCCCAACCGTGGCGCTCGTTCCATCCCCGCATTCCACGCGTCTTCTGGGGAGGCTCGGGTGGATGGACGGGATTGTCTGCCTTTTCAACAGATGAGCAAAAGCAAGCTCTGTACGGAGTACTGAACAGGAATATCAATGGTCGGCGTCTCCGACAGCTGAATTCGAAGCTGACGGGAGTACTCTCCGTAATCTACCAGGGGTTACATCCGTTCTGACTGGCTCGGATAGGGGGCGGGCTGATGCAACCTCAGCAGCCGCGATATTGATCTGACTGGGTGATATCTCCAGAGGATATCAGGTACGTTGATAGCCGGAGATGACACCACCGCGCCCACTGATAACGGCATTCCGCGCATCCAATCACGCGGGGGGTTCCAAAAGGTGGATGTCCCGCCAAGCCCACCGAGCCTTGGCAGTGGAGCTTCGAGGAAGCCAAGTGGGTGGAGGCCGCGAAAGAATTACCCCGGTCGGAATGAGCGACTTGTCGCCCCTATCAATGCCCAGCCAAAGGATTCCTAGTAGTCTGCATCCGGAGTATCAAAGCAGGAAATGATCTCCTCCTCCTAAGCAGTAGATTGAGGCCAATGCTATGGCCTGATGGTGCTGGGTCCCCTCGCACTGTCGCACATGGTTGGAGCCAAGGTGGTTCCCCGACGGCACGGCCCCCTGGCCCGAAAACGTTACGTACTGGATTGCTATCAAGCTTTGGCCGGTGCCTGGCTTGACCAGTCGTCGGAACGCCCCCGAGTCGTCACGTGGAGGGTTGCTTCTGGCCTGAGGCATGCACTCTCACGTGGAGGACGGCCATAGACCATGGTCGAGCACTCTGCTAGCCATTGTTGGCCATAAGAGAGGTTTCCGACCAACTGACATCAAACCAGCCATGTGCCCGATGCCTCCTATAGGAGAATCCTTTTCCGATGGTAGTTGATGGAAGATGCACAGCCTTCTGCAACGCTAGTACCTAATTCTACGACGCAGCCAACACTAACCTGAACGTGCGTGCACTGGCATGACTGACATAAAATCTCCTGCTCCACCATTCCTCCATGCTCCGTATTCCATTCCGGCTGTTTGATCAGCCCTATGTCGGAGGGTTATGGCAACCTCGGCATGGACTCCCCGGCCAATCAGCGCCCAGCGGACACCCACCCGCGAGGCTGACAGGAGCGCTGACAGCTCAACCTGAGTTCTGATTCCCGGATTCCACCTCACGAACCATGGAAAAGTCTCCCGTGTCGACCTACTTGGAACTGGACAATGGCCGTATTTCTCAGCTTATGCAGGCCGCTCAGCGAGGCCTTCTCCGCGATGTCCAGTTCCTCCTCTATGGCGTATCACCGGATGTCCAAGACAACACGGGTAGAACCGCCTTTTCGTGGGCCGCATCCTATGATCTCACACCGGGCCAACCTTGCGCCGACTGCGACCCTCCTGATGCTGTGATGCAATTTCTTCTGGACAGAGGCGCCGACCCGAATCTCGGAGACCATCATGGCGAGACTCCGTTGCATTGGGCAGCCAAGGCCGGGAGGGCGGAGATGGTGGATCTTCTGCTGCAAAAGGGAGTATCCCCTGATGTCGCGGATTCACGGGGTCGCACACCATTGTCCCGGGCAGCAGGACACGGACACCGCAAGGTCGTTGAACTCCTGTTGACTACAGGCCAGGCCGATCCAGACAGTAAGGATGGCCGGGGGCGAACGCCATTGTCTTGGGCTGCCGAGAATTGGCATTTTGATACGGTCAGCACCTTGCTGGCTCGTGGTGCCAGCGCGGACATTCACGACCAGGAGGGGCAGATCCCTCTATGGTGGCTCATTAGCAACCTGAGCAAGCGGCAAGCAGCACACGGCCGCTCGGAAGAGTTTCAACGGTGGCTCGCGGCATTAGGGCCCAATCATGGCATGGAGCCAATGACCAAGGCCCGCCGGACCTTTCTGGCCTGGGCGAGCGAACGGGGAGACAAGGAGCTCGTCCAAGAGCTGTTGAGAACGTCCTGGGCCGATCCGAACTCGATTGATCGGTATCGTAAGACCCCGCTTATCTACGCGCTAGAATGGAGTCACTACGAGATCGCGGACTTGCTCATGTCGGGCATTGGCGAGGCGAATCGTCGGCGAGACCTCGTGTCACTGAAGCTGATGATCCAAGAAAGTCGAGCTCGATTATTGAAACCGTTTCTCGAGCGGTACAAGCCCGACCTCGGCGACGAGGACGAGTCGAGCGCATTTCCGCTGATGCGAATGGCCCTGCAGCAGGCCGACCGTCCGACCGTCGCAGTTCTTCTGGAACACAAAGCCAGTGTAGATGGGCTGGAGAATGGCGACTGGTTTGGGCCTTGCAGCACGGTCAAGGCATCGGTGAATCCGATGTTTGCAGAGCATGCCCGCAGCGATGGCAACTCCATCCCCGTGATGAATATGACCATTCCCGATGGCCATCGAGCGGCCTTTACCGCTTTGCTGAGTCGCCGGACGAAGATGTTGGAGTCGGACGATGGGGACGATGGGCGGTACCATCGGGGGGTTAAATCGAGCGTGGCGGTCGACATTGCCGTGTTTCGCGATGGACGGCGAACGGCGCGCTGGATCACCGATGACACCTTGGACCGGGACATGAGGGAGATGTCCAAATCTGCGGACGAGATACATCTCTTGTAAGTTGATTGATCTGGTGATTGACTAGCGCTCACCGTGAAGGCTCTTCCGGGAGAACCAACTGTGGAACACGTATTGCCAGCTCGACGATACGCCTAACGCGCTGCGCTTTTCCCTGGGCAATAAGAGCCCGTGTCGGACGTTCTCGCTATTTATCCGGATGGACATGAAGATTGGTACTTCATTGACCGACCACAAGCATGGGCACAACACGGTCCGCGTGGTGGAATGGGCCGTCCTGGAGGCGCTTCCCAAGACGATCCACTATTTCAGCAATCTGCCTTATGGATGGATTCCGCAGAACGACCTGGAATTGGTGCAGCTGTTCATGCAGGCCTGGCGGGACGACTGGGTGGCATTCTGCCGAGAGGCCCGGGGGTATTTGGGACGACTCGTAAGACCCCTAGGAGCGGAACCGGAGGGTGGTGAATGGCTAATTCTATAGCGAACGCATCAATTGACAGCCCGTGGCAAAGACGACCGCCTCATCGACTCCATCGCCGAGAGTATGCAGCAATGGACCCAGATTCAAGCCACGCTGGCCGAGCAGCTCAGTCAGGCGCGAAACTTTGTCATGCAGTACCAGCGATTCAGCGAGACGCGCAAATTTAGCGAGAAGATGCAGGATACGATCTATGCGCTGGACCGGGAGATATCAGGACAGATTGACAAGTTGGAACAGACAGTGCGCGACCTGCTACAAATCGTACGTGTTTCCATCCATTGTGGCTGTTGCTAATAAAGTAGGAATTTGCGTGGGTATCGATTAACGAAGCGCATCGGTCGACCAGTCTGGCGACGAGCATGAAGCGGTTGAGCTGGATTACGGTAGGTCAATCCTGGCTTGGGTGCGCGATGCTGACGGGAGCAGTTTATTTTCCTCCCACTTACTTTTGCCTCGGTACGTTTCCTTGCCTCTGAAGGATGTAGCTAATCGTGTAGAGCTTATTCGGCATGAACGTGGATATCCTCAAGGACGATCCGTCCTGGCGCTGGTACCCGCTGTTCGGGGGGGTGCTACTCTTGCTGACGGTGGCTGTGTGGGTGTCATCCAAGTTTACCAACGTACGTGTATCCCGTAGAGAAGACAGCGCTAATTGATGCAGATGGAGCAATGGGTTGAGACATGTGCGGACCGAATTGTCAACCGGAGACGAGAAAAGGATGGTTTACAGGGAGTGTGGTGATATGCTGTGCTGATACTATGTGCTTACATAGTATCAGCGATGTGTTCCATTTATGAGACCTTGACTCGAGACGCCATCCCTACGATAAATCACGAATGATAAATCAACCCTTTTCAAATAACAGCTCCGATCTTCTGCATACAGCACTATTTATTTGCATCTCTGCCAGTTTCAGACATACGCTCAGCAGTGGTCCTGCAACCCCACCCCGCAGCCTGGCGCCAAGAGCACCAATCCAGGTCGAGTCATCATCGAGGATCGAGACAGCGCTGTCAACGACAAGTGACAGTCAATGTCAGACCCTGCTGATCAATCTGAGACAAGCTTAATTAAACCGCGGTGGTGCTGAAACATCCCCTCCGCTCCCTACCACTCGCCGTTTCAGCACCCGCTCCGCAATATCCACCAGCCCTACTTAAACTCATCCAGCCGTCTGCACATTCAGTCTCCAAGTGCCGGCACATCTCATTCATTCATCATTCATTCATTCACCTCTACATTCATTCTTCCCGATGAAGCCCGTTTCTCTTCTTGCTTTCCCCGCCTCCACACTGGCCGGTTCCGTGCTGTGGAGCGGGATTTTCAACTCCTCTGCCACGGTTGCCGACTTTGACGACTGTAATCCTCTCCATCCCCCATGTAACCACCACTAACCTCGCAGGGTCCTGGTCCAACCAAATCGAACCCTGGCAATGGTACATCCACGGCAGCGACAACACCTCGGAATATCTCGGCCTGTCCAGCAGCTACAAGAACCCCGCCGCCAGCGATGCCCAAGGCCTGCGCACCACCATTGTACCCCTCCCCCCTATCCCTCCCACACCACACCATCCTAACATCACCCAATCATAGGATGGAACCTCCTACTGGGAAGGCCAAACAATGGAACGCACCGAACTAATCCCCCAAACAACCTCCGACCTCGGCTCGGGCCACCTCTACTACCACTTCTCCCTGTCCACCTCCTCCACCAACCCCCCCAACGCCACCTACGAGCACCAAATCGCCTTTTTCGAATCCCACTTCACGGAACTCCAATACGGCACGGCCTCCGGCTCCTCCGGATCGGATAATACCCTCCGCTGGAACGCCGGCGGAACCACGCACTGGTCCGTGCAACTCGAGGCCGGGAACTGGTATAACTTTGCGTATGATATTGATTTTACGAATCAGAAGGTGGGGCTGTGGGCGAGTAATGGGTCGGAGGTCTTGACGGAGGTGGTGAGTCCGGTGAGTGCCAGTGCAAGCTCGAATTCGGCGGATTGGCATGTGGGCGTGCTCCGGTTGGCGGGGAGTGGGGTGAATGATGATGCGAAGGAGGATTGGTTCTGGAGTGGGGTTTATGTCGAGGAGGGGGAGTTGACGACGGCAATTGGCGAGGGGTCTTCCTCCTCCTCCTCCTCCTCCTCCTCTTCTTCGGCTTCCTCTGGCTCTAGCTCCGCTGAGGCCACCACTGCTGCTGCTGCTGCTGCTGCTTCTGCTGCTGCCGTGCAGACGACTGCTGCATCAACCCCCACGGAAGTCGTCGCCGTGCAGTCTTCTTCTTCTTCTTCCTCTATCTCTACCTCGACATCCACCTCATCGACGGCTACCACCGCCGTGACCACCCCCACTGCCTCTTCCATCATCGCAACCCCCACCGCAGTGGCTACCACCACTGCTGCCACTGCAGCAGGATCCTCCCTCCCCGTCCCCACCACGGCGGCTGAGATCCTCGACGACGTCAAAGCCTTGTTGACGGCACTGCTCGCGCGGGGTGGTGTGCATGCACGGGATTTTGCCATTTAAGATGACTGATTTGCCCAATCTACTATTTTTCCACAAATCCAGTGATAGGATAGGAATATACTTGAAATCGATTCACACCCAAGAATCGTACTGGTCGGGGTATTTAGAAAGTGAAGTACTAAGAGCTACCATTACTAGTGTTTATCCGCGATGGAATGTACCTAGTTCGTCGTACACATACACTGAACATACATGTAACATATATATATATATATATATATATCCTCAATCATCTTCCTCATTCACAATCAACATCCTATTCCACAAAGGTATGTAGCCCCCCCCCCACAAAAGTAACAATAAGTAAGGATTCAAAGAGCCAACACCGCCTCCCTCAACTTCCCAAAATCCGGCGTCCCCAACCCCGTCGCGGGATCCCATCCCACTGTGGCATTCCAACTCGCCCACGCGATGACCCCCGCGCCGTCGACATCCCCCTGACACCCCACCGCTTCACCAGAGGTAATATCATTCAGACTTGTATATCCAGAGGAATACAGCCACGGGTTGAGGAACCCCAGGGAGGATTTGCCCGCCCGGAGACGCGCGTCGTTGAGTAGGGCGATGATGCCTGCGAAGACGGGGCTCGCGCCGGAGGTTCCGCCAACGAGGGTGAGAGAGCCGTCGATTACGGTTTCGTAGCTATCATTATACCATTAGCTTTGGGTTGGTAGGTATGGAGGGGAAAGGGGGGGGGACATACTACGGCGATCCCGCGAAAGCAGAAACATCCGGGAACGCACGACCGCTGAAGTTGGTGTATTGGTCGTAGTATTCTTTCGTGGCATCGGAGATGTAATTATCGAGGTATGTTGAGACCTGGGATGCTTGGTAGGATGGCTGCGCGAAGTAATTGCTGAATCCGCCGGAGCTGTCCACCCAGGCGATTTCCGGCACGTCTTGCGTGCCCCCGACTGCCGTGATGTACGGACAGGTGCCTGGGAACATGGGCGTGAATTCGACTTTGTTGGTGCCGTCGTTGGAGATGCAGGCGCCGCCGACGCCTAATTCAGTTAGTTGATGGGTAAAATGGGGTAGGGGGAGGAATGGGGGTTACCAGAGTCGCCGGAGGATTCTAGGATGGAGATCCCGCGGGCGCCCAATAGGCCGATTAGGTTGCAGACCCGGGTGGCGTAGGCGAGAGGGACGGTCTGGTTTGTTAGTGATTGATGCTACGGAGGTTGGGGGGGGGGGGAAATCTTACATCCTCATCGTCACCGTACGAGTTGCTGATCACCAACGGCAGTTCCGCGTTGGTCTTGTTCAGCAAGTACTCGTAGTACTCCAGGTAGGGCTCGTTCTCGTCGGTGGTTTCCTCAACATCCGGAATATACGGACTACATCATTAGCTTCGTTCATTCGGGGAAGCAGGAGGACGTACGGAGATCCACCGGTGATGAACTCGGTCACCGGCAAAGGATGCGAAATGCCCACAATGTTCTGCACATCCAGATCGGCCTCTCCATCCGGATCATTCTCCTGGTTGTTGACACCCCCGTTGATCAACTCGATGGTGAAGCTCTGCTCCGCAATGTCAAAGTACTGCGTGAACAGGTCCAGATCCGAGTACAGGGCCGACTCGTTCAAGAAGCTGCCGAAGCCCACCCGACTCCCGGAGGAGGCCTCCGGGGTATAGTCGATGTTGTACTGCTCCTTGAGACAGGCCGGGGTGATGTACTCGCAGACATCGCTGGCGCTGGTGCGGTCCTTGGTGGTCTGGGCCGCACGGACAGCCCCAGCCCGGGCCGCCTGGGACTTGCCGAAGAAGACCGTGGGGGCAATCAGATCGATCGCCCCGGTGAGGCTCTCCGGGATGGAGTACTGCGTCGTGCGCACCTTTTGGGTGGAACCACTCTTGTAGACGGAAAAGGTGGTGTTGAGCAGCTGGTTGGCGGTGCCCACGGTGGTGGCAAAGTGGAGTAGACCTCCGGCGCGAGAGAACTTGGTCACGCCCGCCTCTTGAAGCCAAGACACCACGGCAGCGTCATCGGCCAGAGGAAACTGCTCGTTGATGTCGGCCAGGTCCAGGTACTGTCCGTAGGTGTCCTTGCCGGGGGTGGACACGGACAGGAGCTTCGCCTCGAGCTGATCGATGTTCTGCCGGGCCAGAGCCACGGACAGAGTGATGGTCGCGCTGGAATCAGCGGATTCCACCAGCGTCCAGTCACTGGGAACTGACTTGATAGACTCCAGCAAGACACTGCCCAACGCAGGGGCCGCAAAGGCCACAAGGCCTGCAGAAACTCGGGAAAAGGCGACCATGGTGAGGATGGATCGATGAACGGCCTGAGAATGAATCCGCGGGAGAACCGGTTATAAATCACTGCCTGTCTGCAGTGGTGCTGGTGTCCGACGGACAGCGGATGAACTCCGGTTGTGGCGTTCACTAGTCGGTCCACTTGCAGCATGCAGGAACGGAGGGAGGTGTCCTGGTGCATCTTGGATGCCGCTGCAGGAACCGACACTCGATGCCAGTCCTACTGGAGATCAAGAATTCCGTTGCTGTAGTTGCTCATTGCTGTAATTGCTACATGCTGCAATTGCTACATGCTGCAATTGTTAACAGTGCAAGTGTAAATATGAATGCAGCTGTGTGCTTCAACAAGCCAGCGGTCGGAGTCGCGGCGGAGTCCGAGTGAATTACCCTCGGCAGGCATAAGTGGGGATGACGAGATAGCGTTCTGCAGAGAGCTTATCAAGATGGGGGATTGGAGTGATTGAGTGAGGGGTAACGGATGACACCATTTCCCGGTGGAGAGTCACGCCTTTTCCCCTACAATCATCTCATTCATTCCATCTCCTCGATACTACCTCATTACAATACCCGCCGGAAGCCCCGTCCATTGCATATTGCACCTTGGCAGCTGCCCACTTCATCTATAGTACCAGTGCTCGAGTGTAACCCTAATAACATCGCAACTCATCTCCGCTGCATCAATGCACCGCCTTCACCGTCTCCACAATCCAAGCAATACGTCCATCATCCGCCACTTCCGCGAACAGAAATGTCTCCGCGGCACTGACCGTCCCATTGCATGTGTTTGACAAACCCGGTGAAGTCGCGGGTGGTGTGGTCGTCGCGCTGGGTGAAGGTGGGGGGGAAGATTTTGGCTAGATCGGTGTCGGTGTCGGAGGGGTTGCCCGCGAAGAGGCTGAGGAGGGTGGCTTGGAAAGTGGAGGCTTGGTTGGTGAAGGTGGCCATGTTGGAGTGTTGGGTCTAATAATGGTGGCGCAGATTGTGCAATTTATTAGATAGATATGAATAGATGTGTCTCTCTGAAGCTTTTGGTCTATCTTGTCAGGGTAAATGGCAGTCAGATGGTGCCTCTATATATTCCCACCCAAACATCCACCCGCCAATACCACACTCAATGATATTTTGTCTGATATTGACTGACAGATTCAGATCTATAGGGCGGAAACACTACTATAATCTCCGCTTCACGACCACTAGCATCGCACTTAATAATCCGACGTGATAACTAGTTAACTAGTTAGTTAACTAACCCGATCTGATTTGTAATCACCATCTTACATATAACCACCAACATAGACAATAACAGCCAACCCTCACCCCAAACCTCATTACAACCCGATCACCATGTCTCACACCCCCCGCTCCATCCTCGAAACCTTCTACGCCGCGGAACGGATCTACATGTCCGCCGCCCCCAACGAGCGCGACTTCAGCGCCATCGCCGCCACCATCGCCCCCACCTGCCGACTCGAACAAACCGCCGCCCTCCCCTACGCCGGCACCTACCTCGGCCCCGCCGGCATGCAAGCCTGGGGCGAGCAAATGGCCAATTACTTTTCCGTCGTGGATGTGCAGAATCCGGAGATTTTCGAGCGCGAGGGTTCGAATCGGATTGTGGTGTTGTCGACGCTGCATCTGAAGGTGCGGGAAACGGGCGAGGAATTGGAGTATCCGTTTTGTCAGGCCGTCCGGGTGGATTTGCAGTTGGGGCAGATTACCGAGATGAGGCCGTTTTATTGGGATGTCGAGGGGGTGAGGAGGGCGGTGCTAGCTTAGGTAGCATCAGGCATTACAGACTTAGTTCTTCCTGGTTTGTATCTTCTTAATTGTCATCAGGGTTGATTTATTTCTGCCAATTCTATCCTGAATTCTTGCTTGCAGAGATGCTTCTCGGGAGAGTATCCTCTCCTCCCTCTTCCGTACCTACGTGGGAGGCTATCACTGCTTAATCGAGCCTGACCCCCGACATACCGCAGGGCGTCTCCAGATTCGCTTTCACTATATGCCCGAGAATTCGCCTGGTCTCTTCCAACGGATATTGAATGCTAGGGCTAGTGAGTCAGTGGTGACTGGTGAGTGGAATGGGGATGGATGACAGCGGATGGAGCCGGCACTAGACTATACCCGGAAGGCCCACTTCATCTAGGTGGCTAAATATAGACTGGTATGAGATTGGGATGGAGCTGGGATTAGAAGATCCTGTTATTCACAGTGAAGCACACATGTCCCTACCAACAACTCAGTACAGTAGTCCCAACTCTTCTTCAAGGTTAGTATTTGTTCCACTCGGTGGGGGCCCCACTGCCCGTAACTCTAGTTCGGTACTACATATACACTTGGGTTTTCTACCAGTCAAAGTCTGTAAGATAAATACATCAAAACAACAACTTGCGCAGGAATCGAATTTTTGAAATCATATCACAACGCGAGGCCCTAGAGGCCTCATCTTTTAATAAGTTTCTCATAACTCACACCACTATTATTTAATACTAATTTTATTAGATTATCGCAACGATGGCATTGAAAATATCTAACTAATCTAGTCTAGCTATCTCCATGAAGAAATCAGAATATCCTTAAGAATATACTCTGGACCTCTAACATAATATAAATATAATACTTAAATATCTAAAAATGAGTAAAGACTCTCGGATATTTAAACTAGTTATTAATTATATTAATGTGATAGGATCTACTTGTTAGGGTAGAAGGCCTGTCAACTAGGTAAGGAACTGGCCACCAAACGTATAGAATTCCACTAGTAATAACAATGTAGCCTATATCCACGAGATAAAGAGACTAATCTTTAAAAGATTAGTAGTTTAACACTATGAAGTATTACCTTATAGTAGATAAAAAGATCCTGAATTATTATTAATAATCTTATAATTTCTATAACTATTCTAATACGTCACTCTGAGAATCCGGATCATACTGGTTAGACTATTATAGGACTAGAATATTAGTTAGATTGGTACTAATAAGATAAGATTTTTATCTAGCTTATTTTATTATAATTATTTTTTTTTCTGCTGAACCGAGCCTTCTAACTTAAAAAACTATATATAAATAATTTTACAATAAGAATATAATAAAAAGTAAAAGATAAATCTTAAAATAGCTTCTAATACGTCCTTATAGAGTAAAAAAATATAAAATACTATAATATATCTATATTTATTATTATTATTATTATAGTTAGGATTAGTAAATAGTTTTATTCTTAATATAATAAATACTTACTATAATATTAATATTAGTATTATTATTTTTCTCTTTTTTTCTTTACGCTTCTCTTATCTTTCGCGATAGTTTTTTTTATTTACTATTATAGTTTTTTTAATAGTTAGTATTTATATTATATTTCTATATTTTTTTATTACTATTTATTTAAAAATTTTATCACGATACTTCGTGCCCATAGAACTATAAAGTATTATACTATTTATAATTTAATAATTAAGCCTAAGTATTTCTTCTGTATATATTACTTTTAATTTAATTTAAAAAAATATAATATCGCTGCTAGTATCTTATTTATTATCTAATATATTTTTAATAGTAAGGCCTCGATTCTTTACCAACGCTGTTATAAAGGAAATAAGAAATATAATTTTATAAATATTTTATATATTAATATATTATTTATTTACTAATATAATTAGATATTGATAGAAATACTAAATAATACTTATAATTTAGTAGATATTCTCCAGTAACTTAATAAATTATTAAAAATTAAAAATTAAAAAAATAAACTATATATACACTTATATACTAGTAATTTTAATCTTATTAAGGTTTTTAAAAATATGGAGGCTGCCCATACTATAAATCTTTATCTTAAAAATTTAAAGAAAAATATAAATTAATAGATAGTTATTTTCTAGGATAATTTATTAATTAAATACTAGATAAATATCTACGGATACTAGTAGTATCTAGCTATCTAGTATAATATTATAATATATTAATTTTTCTATCCTAGTATTAATATAACGCGTATGGAGTTCTACTAGTATAATAAATAAATTTTTTTATATTTATTACTAGGAAATATAGGCTTTACTATATAAATTATAATAATAATTATTTTTTTTAAGAGATTATAGATATAATTTATAAATATTTTTTTAATATTTCAGCGTCCTCTGATAGTAATTTAGAAAGTAATTTAGAGGATAAAAAAAATAATAATAATTTAAAAAATTTAGATTATTTATAATAATTTCCTTGTACATATTCCTGTTATTTAATAGATATATTAATATTTAATATTTATTAATATTTTAATATTAGTTTAGAAATATTATTAATTAGATATATATAAGTACTTCCTATCACCTTATACAGGATAATATAATGTATTTTTTAGTATATTTAATCTATAATTAAAAAAATTAAGAAAAAATTATATAATTTAATATATCTGTAAAGTATATATCTAGTATAAAAATTATTTAATAATAATTTTCTATAATTTTATTAATTTTAATAATTTTTAATATTTTTTTAATAATTTCTGATATATTCTTGCATATTAACTATATTTTTATTAAAAATCTATTAGTTATATTTATTAGGCTATTTTTTCTATTTAATTAAATAATAGTTTTAGCTATTATATTATTAGTAGTTCTTAACTTTTTTAACTTTCTATTTTTCTTTATTATTTAGCTCTGGTATTGGTAGTATTTCTTTATAATCTATATTAATATTTTATAGCTTTAATAATAAGACATGAAACATATTATAGATTTATCTATATTTTTTAAATAAATATAAGTAATATATCTATAATCTAATTTATTTTAAAATTTAAAAAAATTTTATAAATTTCAGAGCCAGCTTTCTCGATTTTTTAAGTTATAGATTTTGGGTTGATAATTTAATTAAATTTTTTTTTTAAAATAGAATAGCTTTCTGCGCTTATTATAGTGTTTTTTTTATTTTTTTATAACTATTTATTATATTTTTTTTAAAATTATTTTCTTATCTGTCTAAGCTTTTTAATTCTGTTTTATATAACTAGGATCTCTTATTATTAAAAATTATTCTTGATTTTAATATGAAAGTCTAGTAAATAATTATAAAGAATTTTATTAAATAATTATCCCGTAATTATATTATCTATATTATTATAAATAAATTAAATAGTTGGTAACATTATAATCTAATTTATAAAGAACTAAGTAAAATAGTATTTTAAGTAATATTTTAAGATTTAATTCATTCTTTTTATTTGGCTATTAATTTATGGATAAAACGTGGTAGAAAATCTTAAAATTATATAATTATTATAACTTAAGTTTAACTAAAACTTATTAGTAAATATTAAATTTTAATTAAATATAATTCTATTAAGGGATCCAAATATTAGTTTAACTTATTAATAGAATAATTTAGTTAGATTTAGAGTTGTTATAGTTGACAAAATAGTAAAAAAAAAATAATATTTTAAAAATTAATTAATAATAATGAGGATGGAATTAATAGTTTATTTATATTAAATAATTAAAAATAATCTTATAATAAAATCTATTAATAATTCTATAAAAAGACGGAAAAAAATTAATAATAATTCAAAAGTACTACATAGTTAATATTTTAGAGCTGTATTATCTTAATATATTAAATAAATTTAAATATATTTAATTATATCTTCTTATAGTCTACTCTAGTGGAACTTTTTATATAATAAAATTTCTATTTAGATCTTTCCAAAGTATCTTATTAATAGATTATTATAATATAGATAGATAAGTATTTGACATAATATTTTAAAAAATAAAATATAAAAATAGTTTTTAAAATAAATATAGCTAGTAGTTTTAATAGTCTAATACTTTTAATCTAATTATTCTTATTAAATAGTGATTTTTTACTATTAAATCTCTAGATCTTTATTTTATAAATATAAGATTATTTTTTAAAACTTAAAATTATATTTATTTAAGTATAGAACTTTTACGGTACACACATATATTATTATAAATTAAAAAATAAATTTTTTTTAAAATAAGTTCTTCTAAATAGTTTAATTAGCTGTCTCTATACTGGCTCGATTATTAAAATTTTTTAAGCTTAATATTATATGGATATTAAATCTAGGATAATCCTATATATCTTAAAATTTAAACTAAGATTTTATATTTATTAAATTTCTAATTATTAAAGATAATATATCTATGAAACACTCTTGAATCAGGATCAAAAATTTCTCTTAAGAAATAAATTTTATTTAAAATCTAATAAATACTCTAGAAGATTTATCTACTAGATTTAATTTTTCTATTTTATATTTAATAATAAAATTAAAAAAAATTAAGTTTATAAACTATTAGGCTTGCCTTCCATTAACTCTAGTCTAATATATAAAAGATTATTAGTTTAAATAGTTAGATAGAACTTTAATTATTTAGGGAATTTCCTCTAGATATTATTACTATTATTTAAAAAAATAAATAATAGTAAATAATTTTTAATTTAAAATATTATAATTTAGTTTAGCACTGGAGAACTTATAAGATTAAAAAATAATTAAATAAAATATATTCTTATTATTAGATTAGGATAGAATTCTATTTATTTCTTTTTTAGATGTATCGGTTTCTAAACATTAGAGTTTTATAAGATTAAAATATATTAATAAAAATACTTACTAGAAAATAATGATTAGATAGTAAAAAGCTATTTATTTATATAGATTTAATTAGATTTTTCTAGATTTTTATCCATTAACTACTCCATGGAATAAAAAGGTAAAAAATAATATAATATAAAAATAATTTTAGATAAACTATTAATAGAAATTATAAAATCTTAAAAAAACTTAAATATTATGATAATTTTTAAATAATAGTTATAAAATAATATTATTTATTTAGTGGGAATCTATGGATATATTATCAATATTAATAATATATTCTAGAAATTTGATTTAAAATTAATAAAATAAGTATTTTAATAATTTTATATAAAGTTTAATCTCTCAGAGTCTTTCCAGAACTTAATAAATATATTTTATATGGGATTCTCTATCTAGTAAAAAAATAAGAATATTATCTAGATAGACTATATAAAAGTTATCAAGGAGCTTATAAAATATAATATATATATAATTTTAAAAAGTTACTAGAGCATT